CTCAGTCCTCATAGGGATCCTTTAGGCACTTGCCATGCAGGCTTCTGTGCTCACATGTTCACTTGCTCAAGACCAGCCAGAGGAGCTGGGAGTATAGCTTAGTTGGTAGAGTGCCTTGCATGTACATGGCCCTGGGTTCAATCCCCAGCACCCACCACAAAAAAAAAAAAAAAAGACCAGCCAGAATCATCTGCACCATTTGCTAGGTCAGACATCTCCAGCAAATGTGTCTTAAGTCAATGTCAAATGATTAAGAGCCTTAGTTATATCTTCATATTATTTTTTCCACAGAACTGAACAAGTTGATAAGAGGAATATGCCATTTAATTCGCGAGTCCCTCATACTGAGGAGCAGAATTATTACATAAAATGGTTGGGGGCAATGGGGACAAAAATAGGGAGCATCTCAGAATTCTGTCTGCCACAGCTGTTCTTTTCCAGTTCTCATGTATCTATAATTATAGGTACCTGTTTCCACTCAACATTATCTGGAAACAAGATGAGGCCTAAAAGAGCCTAGGGGGTTATTCTGATATTTAATATTAAAAATAGCTTATCCTCCTTTTAAGTGAAAAAAAATTATTTGGCACTTAACATTTTATGTATATTTAATTATCTGGACTTCAGCAAAGAGTAAAGAAAGCAATGTAACAAAAAGAAGTAAAAAGTGATAATTTATTTGACCCTTCTCTCACTTTGTATTCCAGAGAGCAGCTAAATATGCCATTCTCCAATTCACCATAGTCACGGTCTTATGTAGCACAATTTCCTATATTGTGAATTGTTTTCCAAAAGTTCTCATCCTACTAATCTTCTGTTACAGAAAAATCCAAGAAGTTGCTCAGTTAAACTCTCTTTAGTCAGTCTTTTTCTTATTCTTCTAGAAAGGTTCACTGAATTAAATATGCCCAGAGCAATGTCATAAAATTCTCAAAGTACTGTGTAAAAAATAAATATTTCAAATTTATTTAATCCCATCAAAAATAGAACTAATTTTCTAGCAATTACCAAAAAAAATCTTTTCTGTTCTATAATTATATCAAATGTTAGAATTTTTGTCGATTACAAAATCTCCCTCCAAATATGGCATTGGTCCGTCAGATGGTTGAGTACAGTCAAGTAGAGATGATTGGTGATTCTTTGCTCTTTCAGAGTTACACCATTTTGTGAATTTGCCTAAGGGTCAGAGTCATGAAGAAGTCCACATAGAATATAATTGTGGCATTTCTCTTACAATTTTCTCCTGTTCTTTGATCTTCGTAGGAAATAACTTTTCAGTTGCAAAAAAAAAAAAAAAAAAAATCTATATGTACAAAAAGGTTCTTTCATCTCACTCTCTATTTCCTTCACTGCCAAATTCTTACCTGTTGTGATAGGCCAGGAGTTCTTTAAAAACATACATCATGTCTTATCTCCTAAAAATAAAAGTAAAATTAAAAAAGCGAAAAATGTTTCATAAGTCTCTTTCTGTCTCTGGCTTGAAATCGATTTACCAATAAAGAGTCAAGTTCATCCAGACAGATGTAATGTATTATTAAGAGGGAAAATAAAACTATATATACAATATATAAGCTATATATACAAATATACACATTAGTACAGATAGTCAGAGGCATTTCAACATCTAGAGGAAAATTAGAGATGGGGAACAGTTGGTTAGAATGCCTACATTTTAGGATAGCAGTGGATTTGGAGCCCAAAAGAGAATAAGTCTGAGCTGGGGCAACTCAGTTTGCTTTGAAATCAAGGACTCCTAAGTTGTTAAAATTAGATTGCTCTAAGATAGATGTTAGGGTTCATTGTCAGGAAAATACATTTGTTTAACATTTATGAAGCACTTTTTTTTTTTTTTTTTTTTTACAGTAGGAATACAGTTTATTTCCAACGGACAATAATTTCCCTAGTGCACTTTATTGACTAGTCCATCTTTTTTTTTTTAATTTTTTATTGTTGGTTGTTCAAAACATTACATAGTTCTTGATATATCATATTTCACAATTTGATTCAAGTGGGTTATGAGCTCCCATTTTTACCCCATATACAGATTGCAGAATCACATCAGTTTCACATCCATTGATTTACATATTGCCATACTAGTGTCTGTTGTATTCTGCTGCCTTTCCTATCCTCTACTATCCCCCCTCCCCTCCCCTCCCTTCCCCTCTTCTCTCTCTGCCCCCTCTACTGACATTCGTTTGTCCCCCTTGTATTATTTTTCCCCTTCCCCTCACTTCCTCTTGTATGTACTTTTGTATAACTCTGAGGGTCTCCTTCCATTTCCATGCATTTTCCCTTCTCTCTCCCTTTCCCTCCCACCTCTCATCCCTGCTTAATGTTAATCTTCTTCTCATGCTCTTCGACCCTACTCTGTTCTTAGTTACTCTCCTTATATCAAAGAAGACATTTGGCATTTGTTTTTTAGGGATTGGCTAGCTTCACTTAGCATAATCTGCTCTAATGCCATCCATTTCCCTGTAAATTCTATGATTTTGTCATTTTTTAATGCAGAGTAATACTCCATTGTGTATAAATGCCACATTTCTTTTATCCATTCATCCATTGAAGGGCATCTAGGTTGGTTCCACAGTCTAGCTATTGTGAATTGTGCTGCTATGAACATCGATGTCGCAGTGTCCCTGTAGCATGATCTTTTTAGGTCTTTAGGGAATAGACCGAGAAGGGGAATAGCTGGGTCAAATGGTGGCTCCATTCCCAGCTTTCCAAGAAATCTCCATACTGCTTTCCAAATTGTCTGCACCAATTTGCAGTCCCACCAGCAATGTACAAGTGTACCCTTTTCCCCACATCCTCGCCAGCACTTGTTGTTTGACTTCATAATGGCTGCCAATCTAACTGGAGTGAGATGGTATCTTAAACCACCCTATGAAGCACTTATTTTTTACATGCAAGAAGAACTTTGTATTTTCTTTAATTTGAATTAGCCAGTGTACTCTTGCAACTTACTTTTTTTCTCTTTTTTTTCAGACAACTTCTATGGTATTTTAAATGAAATTTATTGCTTCTTCAAACTTCTCCATTAGACAACATGCCTTTATTCTATAATTTATTGAATACTGAGAGAAAAAATAAATATTATTTACCTTTGTACATTTCAGTTCTTCTGAGGGGATACCCCTTGCCTTGCCAGAACTTTGTATATTTTAACTAATTCAGTGCTGAAAGTTTTGTTATTTGTTTCTTCCTTTTTCCAAACTAAAGTTATTCTTGTAAAGAATTTGAATTATTACTAATTCACTACTCAGAAACTTACATAATAATCCTAACTTATATTCACCATTATAGTCCTTTAATATTTAAAATATGTGTCTTATCTTGTCTTGGTCTTATTTATTCGAAACTGTTCATTCTCACTATTTGTACTGATTTCTTCTTTTTGTCTTAAATAACGTTTTGACATATTTTTCTGGAAATTAGCTGTATTTTCTTGAGTCTGATTCCTTTCTCAAAGCATGAGAGTCAAGCTTTAGATGGGTCAAAATATCATCATGGGATTATCCTCTATCTATGCTTTCTTAGATATTTCATTTCTAATCATGGGACCAGTGGCCATATTATCAATCTTATTTCTATTTGTTTTAAGAAAAATAAACATTTCTAACAGGAAAGTAATAAAAACTGAAGGAACTCAATGTTATATGTTAACAGGTATGACTAAATTATCAGAAAGTCAAAATCAATTATTTGCATAGAACAAAGATAAAAATAGGAACAAGAATATAATGAACTTGATAAAATAAAGGAAATAATTAAAGGGAAAATAAATGTATGTTCTCATGCATTAAAAATATTGTGAGGAGACTTACTTGATGCATATACAAGACTAATAACTGTTTTAACCATAGCAGATTCCATTGAATTGTGAGAGTTTTTGAATACATAAGTGATTTTTTTCTCTTTTTCTCAGAAGAAATACATAAAATAATACTCATGTCTTTAAAAGTGAAAATAAACCTATTTTAGTTTCCTCTGCTGTGCTAGATAAAGGAACAGATGCTGACAAGGCAATTAGCAAATCATTGTGGTCACACTATAGGGAACTGCTTTAGCAAACAGAAACTTAAGAGTCCCCATATTCACTGTTAATGTTAAATTTGTGTTGTCTTAGTTTTTCCTTGGAGATTAGAAGTCTGAGTCATTATCCTTAAGCTTATCACTTAACAAAGCAACATAGTAGCACCATATTTCTGGAATACAGCATTTTCAGTTACTTTCATAATAAAACTAACATTTACAGTGAGGGTGAATGTAAGTAGTAGCAAGTTAAAATTGAGCATCACTGAAGATCTGGAAAATGACTTGTATGTTTGTGCCAATGCCTTCTTTAATTTGTTCATATATGTTGGAAGCCTGAATTCTTGGTGATACTTACTGACAATGCATGGGAGTACCCAGTATTTATATGCAGTTCTGGGAACACAAAAGACCAACACTCTTCATAATTACCATTGTGTGTGATTTTGAATCTTGATACAAATGTTTTCTAATAAAAAGACCTATTAATTCATAAGTATTTAAAAGAAAATTATACTAATGTCACAATAGGAAAAACGAGCTTAAAAACATATGTTGTTATGCCAAATTTACAAATGGAATCTAGAAATTTTCATTATACAATTCCATTTTTGTTCCATTTCTTTATCTCTGCTTGCTTCCACTAGATGTCAGTATTGGATAAGATGTGAGAAGTGCTTTCCTTAAACTATTAACTGATTTCAAACTGCTTTTATAAAATGTGTAACCCCTATCTAGTATGTATGCTTATAAGTACATTATGTAAATTTAATATGTGCAAAAGATTATGTTTATGAGATACCCAGAAAGTTTGACCTTGTGCTTTACTTACACACTAATTATAAAAGTGAGACATTTCAAAACCAGTATAATTAATACTAACTTGCATTGCTCTGAAATGATGCTCATGGTATATGCCACATTCGATACAAATGTAACACTTCACTTTGGATTTGTCCTCACTACAGCCTTTAGATTTTGAAACGAAGAAGGCATATACTTTTAAAGTAGAGGCCTCCAACCTTCACCTTGACCACCGGTTTCACTCTGCTGGCCCTTTCAAAGACACTGCTACAGTGAAGATCAGTGTTCTGGATGTAGATGAGCCACCCGTATTTAGCAAGCCACTTTACACCATGGAAGTTTATGAAGACACTCCTGTCGGGACCATCATTGGTGCTGTAACTGCACAAGACCTGGATGTGGGCAGTAGTGCTGTTAGGTAAGAATAAGAAATATTTTCTTTTTATGTGTCATGAAAACAAAACAAAGACAAACAAATAACAATTTTCTGACCAAAAGTGCATCATGATTTACATATAGAATATTATACTAGAAATTATATATAAGAATAGAGGAAATGCCGTAGGATTTGGACAAAACATCTGTATCAGTCCTCCTTGCAACATTTACCGCTGATAAGCTATTGGATATGTCACACAAACTAAAAAAATCTCAATTTTTAATCTATGAAAGATTTAATAAATGAAGCTCAAAGAATGATTTTCCAAATTAGTTAATTTAAGATACTTTCACAGTGCCTAGAATGTAGCAGCCATGTTATAATTATTTCAAAATTTCTGTCCCCAAAGTTAGTGTTTAAAAATGGATGGTTTTGTCATTTGCGATTTGAAAGCGATTTTTTTCTTGTTGTAGTGACTTTTCATTCTGAATGTGAGATTGAGACAATGGAAACACATTTAGTCAGTCCAAGAGTAAGATGAATTAAGGAATTGCCCAGAACCCAGACTTTGCACGGAGCTCCTCACTAATCTCTCTCTCTCTCTCTCTCTCCCCCTTCCTCTTTCCCTCCCTCCCATAAAGCTATAACTTACAATAGCACTGTGGAGGGATGATAAAATCCCTTTTTCCTTACATTGATCCTGCAATAGGATTGAGACTTCCTTCCATATTCTGTTGTTTGCTAACTGACCTTACAGGCCTTCAACTCTTGAGAACCAATAGAGAACAGCAATGAAAGCTATTCTGGACCAAATTAAGAAAACGTTATGTAGTCTTTTAAAACAAAAATACTCTATTGATATAGAAAGGAATAAACATATCTCTTAAGATTTTATGACATGTGGTAAGTAAATACCAAAAAATTGCATCATGTATTCAGTGCTAGAAAGCACATCACTGTAGACAGCACAATCTGAAGAAGTGGTTTGAAAGCATGTTTTTTTTTTTTTTTTAATTGTATTCATCTGAATCTATCCCATGGGGTGCTCAGTCAGTTTAGGCTGTAGTCTTAGATTACCACAGACTGGGTGACTTAAACAATAAACATTAATTTCCCAGAGTTCTGGAGGCTGTAACTTTCAAAATCCAGGTGCCAGCAAGTCTGGTATCTGGTGAATATTTAGAAGATGGTGGTCATCTTCTTCAGTGGTCATGAGGCAGAAAGAGACAGAAAGTTCTCTGTGGTCCACTGTTTAAGGGCATGTGGGCCCCACTCACACAGCTTAATTACCACCATCTCTTAATACTATCATATTGGGAGTTCAGATTTTGTATCATGACTTAAGGGGGTAAGACGTTCACAAGCACTATGTCCTTAACATTCCATTCTGACCTACCAAGATTCTTGTTCTCACCTTCAAAATATGTTCATTCCATCCCCAGAGCTCCCAAAGTCTCAAATTATTCCAACATAATCATTTGAGTTAAAGTACAAAATCTCACCTAAATAATATCTAAACCAAATATGGTTGAGATTCAAGGTAAGATTCATGCTGAGGCAAAAATTCCCTCCGGCTATGAGCCAATGAAACCAAACAAGTTATGTGTTCCCAAAATACAATTCTGGGACCTATGTCAGACATCACCATTCAAAAAGGGAAAAACAGACAATGCAAAAGTGATGACAAGTCCTATGTGAATGTGGACTATAGCAGGCCAGATTCCCTTCAGCCCTAAGATTTAAGAATAATCCTTCTCTGGGTCAGTCCTCTGCCCTCCTGGACCACTGAGGCAGAGCTCCAAGCTTTTGCACTCACCAGGGTGCTAACATCACCCCTACTCCTGAGCAGGACTCTACACATGCTGTGGCTCTCTATGTTGGCCCTACCCATGTAGGAAGGTGGCCTCCCAGCCCTCTATTTGGCATCCTCACCCTTTGGCTCTATAGGCATTGATCTTGCACTGTGAAATCACTGGGAAGGCAGCCATGAACCTAGCCCTGGGAAGGTTGAATTATGTTGGAGTCCTTCTTCTTTTGAACTGAAGGAAAGCACATGTTCTCAGCTGAAGGTACTGTAGGGCTTCGGAAGTCTGAGAGTCTTCTTTCATTTTTCTCACTCTCTGCTTTCTTCAGTCCTTTTTGGCAGTGCTGCTGCTGCTGTGATGACATCTTTACTCCTGGCTTTTGTTGTTATGGTGGTTGGAGTCTGTTGTTCACACCCACAGGAATCCCTTTATCAAATGAGTAGTCTGCCAACCCCTACTGTGCTCTTCTCAACACACTTTCTCATGTTTTACTGTATGGATGAGCTATTTCCACATTTTAAGATTATGATTCCCACTGGCTTAACCATTCCATCTTTAGTTAATTTCCCTCCACATTTTGCTATAAGTAATTAGAATGAACCAAGTTTCTTCTCCAACACTTTGTGTAGAAAACTCAGCTAAATAGTAAGTTTCACACCTTGAAAGTTCTATGTTCCACAAAATGCTAGAATATGAACACACTTCCCCAAGTTCTTTGATCTTTGATAATAAATATCGCCTTTCCTCCAGTTCCTAGTATGTTCTTTATTTCTCTCTGAACTTCAACAGAATGGTTTTACCATCTACCTTCTACAACACTTGTTGGAGATTTTATACCTGTTCTCTAAGTAGACAGAAACTTTCTTTATACTTCTTTTCTTCTTTCTGTGCCTTATGCAGGATGACTCTGAATGCCCATAATTTATAGAAATGCAAAGGTCCCTAATCCCATCCATAAGAGTTTCACCTCTGAACCTAAATACTCCACAAAATGCTGACCTGTAATACCATTACATTACAGGTTAAAACATCAATATATATATATACAAGGGGAGCATGGTCACTCAGATCACAACAGATTCTTTATTTTATATAGCACATCTGTGATCAGGACAGAACTCTTAAAGAAGCACATCTGTCTCACAAAAAGGGAGCAAAATAATAGTAATGAGCATACCTTACTTTTCAGGTCAAGTACTGGCCAGTTTACTCATGGGGCTCAGGCTGTTTTTCTGCATGTCAACATTGCAACATGTTTCAGTTCCAGTTAATCTAAAGAGAATAAGTAGAAAATGCCTTGCAAACAAAATTATAGTTTTTTTTTTTAAATAAATGTGTAAAGCTATTAAAGAAATACTGAAGATTGTAACAAAAAATAATGAAAACATTAAAAAAAAACACTGATTAAAACTCCCTACAGTTTAATAAAAGAGAATTGGGGTAATAGTCCAATTGCATATGTCGAAATCATATTCAATTTTTTAATTTTTGAATTACATGATGATACAAAAAACATTAACAAAAGTTGTCCTTCTAATGCAATACTTCAAAACCCTTTCACACAGAAAAATTTAAAGATTATATAAGTAGAACACATCCTTAGGTAAAGGGACAGTTTCAAACCCAGGAAAATTGTCAAATTCATGATCCTAGTGTGAGAAGGAAAAGAAGGATACATTTCAGAGAAATTATCCTGCACAAGTGGGCTTTCAAGTTTCATTGTTTATGTCATAGGAGTCATGTCAATGCCACTTTATGTTAAAGTCACACCCTAGTCTTTCTTCTAATGAGTAGTGCCTGCTTCCAAGATGAAGGTGGATCTAATTGATTCTGTGAGGAGTTGTCAGAAGGCAGAATTGTTTTGAAAACATGAAACTGGTCCATGTTCATGGAGTAAACAACAAACTTGAATCACGCCAGTTGTCGAAATATCCTGTTGAGTCATCTTCGTTTGGTATAAAAAAATGTTTGCTCACTTAACAATGATAGTGAAAATATGTTCTGAAAACTAAATATCAAATCTATAATTATTTGACACATTTGGGTACGATCTATTTGTTTTGTTTTTCTTTGTTTAACGTCTTTTCACAGTGTTACTATGCAAGGTAAAATTTAGTAGTGTTAATCTTTATCTCTGGATATTTTATTACTGCTATTATTATTATCATTATGACTGAGCACAGTAAAGCCAGAAGTAATACCATCACCAAGAACTAAACCAGCTTCAAAGAAAGATTGGTTTTGATTTTCTGCCTGGCAAACTTACCACACAGTTCCCTAGTATTCTTAGTTTAATTTGTAAATATTTTCCTCTTTGTTCTTCCAGCCTTTGCCTTTTAATGCACTCTTCTTCTGCCCCTAGTATTGTCTACCCTTTGTGGTAGAACTTGTTACAATAAAGGTCATAAAAATGATTTCTAGTGAGTCAAGTCTGACTGCAACAAGTGTACCTATTACTAGCTACTTTTTCAATACACCATAAATTTAATCAGATGGGCAAAAATACACATTTATTCACAAAGCACATGTGGGAAGAGATACAAAAGTGAGGCCAAGCTTCCCATATGGCATGCTAAGGCAACAGATAAAATTTATTTTAATTATTGATAAAATTGGATGGGAGATACTACATGTTCAAAAAATGTCCATTCTATTTTTTTTTTTTTTTATCTTCCTTAGCAGGAATTTTGTGATGATTAAAAGAAGTGGTGGTATAAAATATTTATAGATTAATCTGCCACATTCTATGAGTTGCATATGTGATTTGTTACTTTTCCTTCAGCATATAAACTTCAGAAGGCCAGATACTGCTCTTCACTGGCTTTTTATCTATCTGTCTATCTATCTATCTATTTATTTATGTTTGGAGTCAGGGTTCTACTATGTTGCCCAAGCTTTACCTAAATTCACAATTCTTCTGTCTCAGTCTTAATAGTCGCTGAGATATAATCACAATCCACCAAGCCCCTCTCTTCTGCATTGGTCTTGATTAGTACCACATACCTCAAACATTAATGTTATAATTTGTTCTAGAAATGTCACCCCATGAAGCAGTGGTTCCGAAGTAGGGCTTTTTGACAGTGATTAGGGCTAGAAGATAATTGGTGGATTAATATATTTAATGGAATAATAACTTGAATGGATTATTGGGTGGTAACTGTAGGCAGATGGGGCATAGCTAAAGGAAGTCTGGTTTCTGTATTTTATTATATATAATATAATACATATATTATA